TTTTTAAAAAGCTACATTCTTCTCTCAATTTCACCTCGCACTACCTACCTACCTACCACTACTCCTAATTGTAGGCATACGGGGAAGAACCCCGTAGCAGCCAGAACCGTGTTCACGAGAGAACATGCGGCGGGGGCTCCTATTTCATAATTTAAAAAATAAAAGCGTGTCCCAGCCACAGTTTCCCCTAAAAAATAATACAGTAATAATCAAAGTCGGCTCAAGCTGAGCCAGTAAAAAAAAAAAAAAAAAAAAAAAAAAAAACATTTAATCCTCATTTCATTTCAGAGTCATCCTTCTTCAAAGTTCAAACAACAGTCGCAGTGGTTGTCGCATGCCGAGCGGTGATCAGCACAGATTGGACATTTGCGAAGCCTGCTTCTCTGAGCTCTTTCTCCAAATCAAGCTGTAGGTACTCATCGAGGAAGGGCTCAGTAGACTTCACAAAAACGGCAGCAAGATGTGGTAAGCCCTGCACAGCCTTCGATTTCGGCGACGTTTCGGCGATCGCGATGGTCCCTCCTGGCCGGAGAAGCCTTCGCGCCTCCCGCAGAATCAACCTGGTGATGGGCAGGGGCAGCTCATGAATAAGAAAACACAGACTCACAATGTCAAAGGACCCGCTGGCAAATTTCTTGACACACTCTTCTGCCAGCCCATGAACCCAGCGAATGGGCTTTTTGCCCAACTCTCTCTGACTTCCTCCCTCCTCCTCCTCCTCCTCCTCCTCTTCCTCTTCCTCCTCCTCCTCAGCAGAAGCAGAAGCAGAAGCAGAAGCAGAAGCAGAAGCAGAAGCAGAAGCAGAGGCTGAAGCAGCAGCAGCAGCAGCAGCAGCAGCAGCAGCAGCAGCAGCAGCAGCAGAAGTCAAGCTCAGTAGATGCTGATTTTTTCGATTCTGCTTTTGCTTATAGGTGGCAACGGCCAAGAAGTGGGGCGAGGCGTCGAGGCCTGTGACTTGTGCATCTGGAAAATAATCTGCAAGATATTCTGAGCTGATACCAGTGGAGCAACCGATGTCGAGGATATCTGTGATCGGTCCGCCGAGCCCGTGCCGTTCCACGTGTTTCTTTACAGCTAGGAGCCAGAACTTTCGCAGAAGTCTCGCTGAATCTTCGGCTGAAGACTCTGGAGTCAGCGTTCTTAATGCCCTCTTCGACAAGAGCAAGGTTGCAGCTTCCACTTCGAACGCCGCCTTCCAACACAGATTGGACTCCTTGTATCCGTGAAAGGGTTTGAGATAATAGGAGGGGTACTTAACGGACCTGTCCTCGACCAGATCCTTCTCCGCGTACACAGCTGTCAATGCCTGTTCCCACGAGGCGGCCAATTTACGCCATGGGATCCCCAAATTTTCCGCATTGCGGATTACTGACGCTCGGGCTGCCGTTTGAATGACATCGAAGATCGGATCGATCGAGAAGAGAGCATTGACGACGACCTGCACCAGCCGTTGATCTCCTCCTACCCACATCGGGCGGTCCAGATCCCCTTGCTCAAAGATCGGTATCGGTATTTCCGAGGGCGTGGCTGGTGCATCGGCAGGCGTTTCTGTCGTGAGGGAAGACTCTGAGGAGGAAGACGCCTGGCTGCTTGTAGCTCTCGCAGCTGCCAGCAGCTGCCATAGCCTGCTCCCACGCGTTCTTACCAACGGAAGCTGGATGTGCCACGTGTCCCCGCACTGCGCGCCGCCATTGGCCGCGTACCTCGGTGCTTTCCCGCCAAAGCAAGGTGGATGTGCCACGTGTCGCGAACTTGAAGTTGATGACGTGGACAAGGAGTTGCTCTGCCACGTGTCATGCTGAGCGGAAGCCAGGCGAAAGCGGCGATTCGGAATCGGTCGTTCACATTCGCAAGCGGGCGCGGAAGCGCAACTCCCGCCAGCTTGTCGCGCGGAAGCAGCGCATCTAGTCGGAGCTGGCGATGAGGTATCCCCCCTGCTACTACAGACTTGCCCCTCGCTTGAGCAGCAGAAAAATAGGGAAGGGCCGCAGGTAGCCTGACCTATGCTTGCCATCCTGCAGGTTTTTTTTCCACAGCAAATCGCTGCCCTCTGGTGTGGCACACACACAAGCAGATCAACCCTCCTGGGGTTGGGAGGATTTTGTGCTTATTCTAATCGTCCTCCTCCCCCTCCTATTTTGTTGCTGCCGCTGCTGCTGCTGCTGCGGCTGGTCGTTGTAATTCAGTCTTCACCAGTATACAACGTACGGCGATTATTGCGGTATCTAGACTGAAAGATGCCCCAAATACAGCTATAATGACCGTACGTTGTATTCSGGGGAAGACTGTAGTATTTCCGTCTCTGGTGCTGCTGGTCGTTGTAATTGCCGATAAATTTTCAGACGCTGAAACACTTATTACCTGTCCAAGAGCAAGTGTAGGCAGATGTTGAATAGGTACATGGAAAACACACATGCAGTCAATGAAATGCTCATCGTAGAGACAGTTCAAAGTACGTAGATAGTCTCATCTCAACAACCAAAATATAGGAAGTATCTCAGCAAAGTGTGAGAGAACGGCATCCCCCGTTTCGGCAGCTGCCAAGCTGCCTCCTCAGGGGGTTTCCCACCAGACATCAACCCGATACTCATCGTCCACCACTCATCCTCTTCCGTTCCTACCGCTAGGCGACATAGCTGCGTAGCTATAGTTCCGTCAGTCCCTACACAGAGGTCGACTATCCATACGACAAATCCTTTATACTGTGGAAACAACACGCACTACCCTCGTTACAGACCGCAATGGGTCATCTACCGTAAAACCTGGTTCCAACAGACCAACAAAATGGTATGCTCGTAACACCCAAGTCAGAACCCAGTACCCCCGACACAATACGTGGTCCAGGCCCAAAAAAAAAACAAGGCTACCCAGCTTCTGTCCCCTACAGAAAAAAACGTGTGAACCAACAACACAACCCTGTTTGAACCATCATCGACCCAGTTCCTACTCAAAATACATGTGAACCAAAACACAACCTTGTTCGAACCATCAACGACCCAGTTCCTACCAGCATCTGTCCTCTACAGACAAAAAACGTGTGAACCAAAAAAGCACAAACCTGTTCGAACCATCAACGACCCAGTTCCTACTCAAAAAACACACCCCTGTCCAAAAGTCCGTAACATAGTACGAAAACCCAAGTCACGAGTTCTGGGCCGAAGAAACAGAAGTTTTAAAATCAGAAAATCCACCCTGTCCGAACGTCCGTAGCAGAGTGCGCAAACCAAGTCACGGGTTCCGGGCCACAACCACAGAAGTTCTCCAGCATTCATCCCAAGAAAAGTCCTAATGCCGAGCGCACTTCACGAATTCAAAAGGAAAAGGAAAAGAAAATGAAAATCCTTGTGTATACTCTCAAACCCTGTTCGAAGATATCATACACAATCACAAAACTACTCCTAAAGCATACGACATGTGTTCCAACATAGTAACAAACATACTCCACAACAACACAACAAAGCAACCAAATGCTCACATACTACATGCTGACAAAAAACACATCAAATCATCAATAAGAAATCCTATATTACACCTAATCACATTCATGTAAGTGCTTCCTACGTCCTACGGGAACAAGAGTTTTGCAGTCTATTTCCAGACTGGGTCCTTCCCCACAGCAAATGCCTTCAGAATTCGCTCGAAAACCTCAGAAGGGAATCCTTTAATCCTCAACTCCCTCTTCACCGTCAGCACTTTCAGAGGGATTTCGGAACGGATCGTGGTATTCTAGTCGATCCGATGGAGATAACTGCCCACAATCGCAGTCTTTTGCTGCTTACTTCCCCACGATGCGTATGATTGCCCGTTCTTGAAAGTCAACTTTTCGTTACCCCAAATTGTCTCTTCATTCTTTACCAACCGCACCACACCCAGGTGCGGAGGAGAGTCCTTCGTCCGAATCTCACATCCGAGGAAAGGTAATATACCTGATCCACTATCCGTTCGTTTAAGAACCAGATTTGGCGGATAACATTCCTCAAAGGCATCAAGCACATATTTACATTGTTGTTCGGACAACGCAACAGTCACAAGTGTGACGTCGTCAATAAGCCTGATCCCAAAGACTCTCTTACGAAAGCTGTCGAGGCTATTAAGGAACTTACATTCAGCGTAAGCACACAGGACACACGCCAAGGGTGGGCTCGTGCTCTTGCCCATCGGAATCCCAATGACTTGTCTAAGAAGCACGCCCGTAGCATATGTATACGTGTGCTTCAACTCCAACCGTACGGAATTTAGAATGTCATCCAAATTCAGCAATCTCCAGTGGTCGGCGCCCGTAGTCATTCCGAATGAAGCGCCTCGGCCCCTGGTGTTTACGTGCACGAATGTTTTGCCTTTTCCCCGGCAATGGTCAACGATCCAAGCCACGACATTAAGGATCTCATCATGCGGTAGACGGCTGAACATCTCCTTGATGTCATAAGATGCCGCCTCTACCCTCCCGCGTTTTCCACGCTCAACTTTCGTGTTAATGCGCTGTAAACGAGACGCAAGGTGCGAGACAGCCTGCAGATTGAAATGACTATCTACCGGCAGCTGAAACAATAGGTGGTTCAGTCCCTTAGCCACCACCCGACCGGTCCTCACCATCGGCTCCTTGAAGGTGGGGCAAATCGGTCGGAAACGACTCGGATCCTTATGCTTCGGCAATAAATACGATACTTCAAAACTCCCTTTGCAATCCCACCTTACAAATTTGCTCAACCCTTCTTCACGTACTTCAGATCTCACTCTCGCAAGTACCACACCCTCCTCATCCTGGACAAACCGGTAACCAGGACTCGACACAAACGCTTCCATCATTGCCTTATGGTACATCCCTGGGCACATAACCAATGTTTTCCCCATGTTTCGATCCATGGGTGTGAGAACAAACCCCTCGCACTCCTTCACTTTGACAACGTCATCGAGGGAGATCAAACCAGAGTTCTCATCTGTAGTACCAAAACAGCGACGAAAAACGAAGGCATCGAACCCAGACACAGGTCCCTTCAAATTAAACCAGTTCGCGAACCCAGTTACAACTTCCTGTTGCAAAAGCAACCTACGGTTCTGAATATCAGGTCTAGGAATATCATTTGCGTTCGACAATCGCTAGTGTCGAGAACCACCATCACACAGCCGGAGACAGACATGCCCATCCACTTTCGGGTGGGATGACCCTGCACATACGCAGGTAGAACACTCACGAGCAGCAAACACTCGCTGATTATGAATAGTATGTCCGATCGATGGGTTCTTGACCCAAACGATCCGTACTTTCTTCAAAGCCCGTTTCCGAATGCAATCAGGCAGATCACACTTCATGATGCCGTCATTGACAATCTTTTTGAGTTCAACTAATCTAATTCAATCATCAAATTTCACGCGAATTACGAGATCGGCAGACATACTAAATCGAAACATGTCACGGATCACTCGAGATACTACGCGCCTGAGATACTTTCTTGTAGATTTCTTGCTCAAATCCTTGATAACATTGTACAACTTCATCAGCAACTTAAGTCCCCAGACGTAAAAATCCGAGATACTCCTCGGGTTCATCAGAATACCAACCAAAGTAGCCTTTAGATACCTAGCCTTTGGCTTCCACATTCGTAGGTAAGCAATCTCAAACGTCCCTCCTTCCTCAAAGCACTTCCTACAAGATCTGAGCAGCCGTGTGTTCTTCCCTTCCCTAATCGTGGACTCCCCAAACTTCTTCCGAAGCTTCTTCCAAACACCAATCCACGTATTACCCCCATTGGTCTTGATGGTAAACTTCCATTGACTGCTCACAGCTTTGGCTGCGAGTGCCTCGACCAGATTCAGTACCGGTTCCCCTTCATCCCCAAAGTGAAAGGCAACAGGACAAATAGCTTGGTCGTTCCCTCCCTTCGCCTAAGGCCACGCTTGTGGCTCAAATTTACCAGCTTGTAATTGCTGACTCAATTTTGAGAACCAGTTGATCGTGAGTGTCGCTCCCGGAGTCATATTACCAGGATTACCACGGATGAGTTCATAGCAGTATATTAGGAAGGATACGTCCGAAACAACCTCGATAAGGTTGCAAAATTTGCCATGAACATATCGTTCTCTCAGCAGAGTTTCAAGCTTCGGCCGACACTTCCAGAAATCCGGTTGTGGAGAGGCCGCGCCCTCTGCCATCGATTCGTGACTGCCGCCCTTCAGTTCCCCTACTACGGCGGCTCTGTCGACCTTCTCATTATCATTATCGAGGGAGGTCTACCGGTTGTCATGCAAGTGGCATTGCCGGGTAGCTACGTTGGTATGGGAGAACCGCTGAAAGCATATAAGCGGGAAACCCCTCTTGAAAAAAGTTATCATACAAAGTGAA